GAAAGAAGACTAGGAAGACTGAACTTTTTCCTGTCCCACTTAGAGACCTGGCATATGCCAGTCACCCAGGCTTTCAGCTAGTTTTGGTGACGATAGCTCTACTTCTTTCAGATAGGTACACCATTTTAAACAATCTGAGAATATGGACCCCAGTTTGCTTAGTCTTGTATTGGCAGTCAGGGAGGGGCAAGAGGATCAGAGGAACATCTCTCAGGTTTTTGTCTTGGCTCCTTTCTCCTCAGCCCCTGCAGCAGCTAAGCAGTCTCTCTCCCCAAGACTCTCACTAACCACAGAGTATCCAAAAGAGTTCTTTACACAGATATCTGCGTCTGAGCAAGGCAGGCTCTTTTCACAATCAGTGAGGAAAAAATACACATTTTTGAGAAGAGTTCACCTGGCATATTTTAGATGTCTGCTTTCAGGGGAGACAAATTACACACCAGAAGTTGCTCCTCTGCACCGTGGACCATGAAGGTGCAACACTTCTGATGGCTACATTTGATCAGATGCATCCAGACAAGTTCCTAGATTCATCCCACCTGACTTCAGGTATTAACTGAAGTATCTAAACCAAGGAAGTAGCCTTCCTAAGTCTCCAAAAGAGAAAAGCACCTCCAAGGAACAGATCTTTGCTGAACTGAGCTCCTCTCTGGATGTACTTCCTTTCTTTCTCCAATAGCTACAGGAAGCATGTAGAGTGATTACAAAGCTAATTTAGGAACCTTCTGAAAGTACATGCAATTAATTCAAATCTAAGTGATTCACTCTAAGCCCTATATGAAGTTAAACTATGGTTTCCCCAGCCACCAGCTTCACCAAAGATGTGCATGTCTGCAGTGCTCAAAGGTTTTACCATGATGCAAACACATTAAAACCTGCAAGATTACAACACAGCAATAGGCCACACTTACAATTCCTTTGCAGGAATCCCACTCTAGCTTAAAAGTAAAAGCTGCATCCCTCATATGCTAATAAGATGTCAAACATCAAGATCTAACCAGAGCTGTTTTACAAAGTAGAGCTCACCTGCGTGTCACATAAAGGAAGGCACACTGCTGCTACCAGCAGGAACAGCACACTGTGGAGAAGAGAAAAACAACCGAACAAGACAAAAAACTCATAACCTGGATTTGTACTCTCAGTAAAGTATAGGCAATTCCACTCAATTTTACACTGACATTTCATTTGCTTAATTTTTATTCTATGTTTTAAAAGTAATTTCTGCCACCAAAATTAAGTTTTACATCATGCACTCTTTGTAACTTATACACAGCAAAGTTGTATGAGAAGCGAAGCAGCACAAAACATCTCAGCAGTGATGAAAACAAGTTTTTTGGTAGGGAATATTATTCTTCACTTGCCATCTGGTTTCCCTAGGCTGCTTCAAAAAGCCGAAATCAACCAATTTCTGGCTGTGAACGGCTCCCAGAAAGTTCTTTCATTAAGGTGAATTGCCTATTACAACAGTTCCAGCAGGGGTGGCTCCATTAAAAGGTATGCTGTAACTCCAGAACACAGAGCAAAGTGGGACTGAGTGGTATTACGCTAGAAATGGCTTAAGGACAGTACAAGCCCTCCCCTAGTCCACCGAGTGGGACTAAATAAATTCTCAACCTGTGACTAACTTAGTATTTCTACAGGCTACACTGAATACACTGATGTGGAATTTCTGTGGACTGTCATTATTAATAATAACAAACTTTTGCTTTTGCAGCTTATTGCCCTGCTCTCTAGGGTCACAGGAAAAGATAGAATAACGATGATAAAAAACCTGGTATCCTTGACAATAATCCAGTGGTGAAAACAAGGCCACAGTAAGTCAGATAATGGAAACAACAAGGAGAAATTAGGAAGATGGTGCCTTTAAGTACATCAAATAATAACCCAACATTATCCACTCTAAGTACAGCTAAAAGATTACAGAATGTGGAAGACAGCAAATAAGCATTCTTCATGGGGATGGGGGAGTAGAATGAAACTTTTAATACATGACTGGCTGACTTCTCTTTGTCCCTTTCTATCTTCTTTTTGAAGCCTAAACAACTAGGGCCAACGAGGGTTGGTAGGTTGTATAGCTTAATATGAATGATTCCAGCAGAACCAAGTATCACTCGTCTTTTCTTTCTTTAGCTATTTTCTATCACATTAATTATCTTTCTCTTACTGTTTACGATTACCCACTGGAACTTCAAACCCAGTTTCCATGTCCTTTCCCAAAACATTCTTACAAGCACTGCTTTGTTATTCAGGAAGACTGGCCTTCTGGCTTTTTTTATTTTTATAAGGAGAAAAAAAATGCATCTATGTAAGCAATTGTTTTAAAAAAAATACATTTTAAAAATATTTAATTACTCCTATGTTGCAATTTAGGCTCACCGCCCACAGGAATGTGCCTTACATGCTTCATTGTTTTGGTTCGCCATTATCTGAAGCAAATACAGAAGCTGGAGCCAAAACAAGTCTGAATCTGAATCTGAGCAGTTATAAAAGCTTACCTACAGACTTTCAGATGAGATGTCTGCTGTAAAAAAGAAAGTATGATTAAAAAAATAAAATTTAAAAATAAAAATGGTGAAATAGTGCTTTCTCCTTCCAAAAACAGGAAAGTGAAGACCTTACTACACCAAACACATTAAAACTCCAGTGAGCAACATTCAACAGTCCATTACGTTTGAGCACTGCTCAGCAAATTTAATTTGTAAAAAAGAATCAGGATTACAGATTAGCCTACTTCAACTTTATTTATATTTTCATATTACTTACCAGCAGGTAAACCTAAAACCAGACATGAACTTTACACCTGGTCCTCAAACTTAATTTCAACTATACCAAAACTGTGTATTGTATGTACTCAATTACTGAGTATTCCTAATTAACTAGGTACTACCCCAGCCAAATCAGTCTTGGTCTAAACACACAAGAGTTTCCCATTCCTTTAGTCCAAAATGATTCCCCAGAAGCTTCCCAGCAAGATCTGTGTTTGCATTATCCTCGTCCACAGTGCTTTTGTTTTTAAAGAGAGGAGTCACAAGCATGTGAGCTAGAAGGAAAATATGAAACACTTTGACAGGGACACTAACCAGAGGACAATGCCACAGGGACATGCTGTGGTACACACTGCTACCTCCCTCAGGCATAACCTTAGTGACCTCTTCAGTTTGTTAGGAGTAGCAAACATGGGCCATTTATTTGTCTTCTATATACACAACAGACATAATGAATGGAAGATCCCTTCCACAGCAAGCCAGAGGCCACTGTAGAAATGACTTTGCAATGAATGATTTCCCAGTGTTACCTCACAAAGCAGCTCTCTGGTCAATTAGAAAAGCTTTTCGTAGCCTAAAAAGAAGGATTCCCGATGCAGTCCATGAGAAACAAACCCAACTCTTACTAAAGGGTGCTGGAATTATTCTCCTGACTTTAATAGGTCTTGGGAGAGATTCTCAAGCATTCAAAACAAATTCAAAAATGCACTGTTTTTCCCACATTTCACGTGGAGATGTGCCCTATCTGCAATTACACAATACACTAGATATATTATAGTGGTTAGATCTAAGGATCCAGTCCTCCTCCCTCTCAGTTCAAACAATGGGATTTTTACATGGGGCATGAGAGAAAGGGGATATTAATTTTCAAAAGGAAAAAACAAGCAGGATCAAGCCAGTCTTAAAAATGTAGATCAAACTGGTGATACATATTTGTAGTGTTTCATCAACTAAAGGAGAAAAGAAAACATCCATATAGGTACTTGTCAACAGCAAAGCTCTCTCTGGGTCTCATTAATTAATAGCTATCACAATGAGACTAGAAAAGCACATGGCACTAATGCACATATTAAAAGAAATTAAGTGTCTTGTCACAAGGTACACAGGAGGTACTTTGAATGTATCAATTAACAGATCAATTACCTCTTTCTGCACAAACTTCTGGAACCCGCAGGTTATAACTTCTGCTGCATTGTGCACGGTGAGGAACACTGGGATTGGCTGCCATTGGGAGAGAACAAAAATGCCCAAATCAACCCAGAACAGTCACACACGTAGGAAAGGGCATTCCTCTGAGGGACAGCTGTCCCATGGGTTTAAATCTGCATCTGTAAATGCAGACCCTGCTTGCTGCTTCTCCCACTTTTGAGTCCTCAGTCGGTTTGTTTGTACACAGTTACCTCAGTGAGATTTGCTCCAGGTTTCTGACTCTAGTTTTGCATCTCTGTTCAAATATCTGCAGCCTCCACAGTAAACATTTTTTACTAGTTTTCCCATCTCTGTACACTGGTACTAAGAATACAGCGTGACTCCTAGCAACAGAACTATAGGCAAGATGATTTTAGGTGATTGCTTGCAGTTACTGCTAGGAAGAGCTGCTCGAAATTAGGGTAGAAATGTTAATAGTTCATACACAAGTGATGTTGAAATTACACCCACTGAGGTACCTGGACACCATCCCAACATGAAATCATTAAGAAACAAACCCCACTGATAACAATAATGAATCAAACATGCATTGCCCCAGGCAAACCCAACCAGGATTAGTGGTTCATAATACTTCCTCCAAATCAGATCCATGGTCTCTCAGACAGTTGAAACAGAAGTAATTCTCTGCTCCAATTAAGATAATCTAAAGACTAAGGCAGTTTTAGGAAGCATTATTTCCCCACTTGTGCGCAGTTTTTAAATCAGATGAGTAGAGAATGAGTTAATTTCTCAATGATGTCCATGCCTTTTAAGTGTCAGATGATATAAGCAGCAAATACCTCTTAAATTCAACTTCGCATTCAGAAAACTGTGTTTTCTGGATTTTTCTTTTCTTTCCCATAAAGCCAGATAAGCATCACTAATTAAACATTTTAAGTCATAACGACAACTGGAATAGATCCATAAACACAACAGTTACACCAAGATAACTTTTAACACCTCTAAATTAACAAGGAATGAAAATCACACAAACACAACTGGTGTGAAGTTGTCAGCCCCAGCTTCATCAGTTCTGAAAACCAATTCTCAACCCTGTTGCTGGACAACTGAGAACATAAAACCAGAAGTATCTAACATAAGCATTCTGAGCCTGATACAATAACAGGAAATACAAGAAATAACCATACACAAGGAAACTTGACAGCAAAATTTACATTCTTCCTTTTGTGAAGCCAATTTGTTGGGTTTTTCTTTCCTCCTCCCTGCTTTTGGCTCTTCCAAATGTGTCTTGGAGCCAACAACAGCTCCAGTCTGCCTAGCCCAGTTAACCTTCTCCATATGTCTATTGCCTTTGATGTGAGTATTTCTTAAATTTGTGAGTGGGCTTAACGCTTACGAAAAGAAAGGTTTACTGGTTGGGCAGGCAGGGTGAATAGACTCTGTACAAACCTCCGCTCACAGCTCTGCATATTTTTGTTAATGCATCACAGTCCAGAGCTAAGCAGTCCTCCTCCAGTTCCAGCCCTGAACTCCTGGGCAGGGGAGACTGCCAGCACCTCTAGGAAGAGGCACAAACAGAGATTGTAGCCCTGGCAGCATACAGGAGTGTTTGAAAGTGGTTCTCCTTGGATTTGATCCAAAAAGTGCACATAATTTCTGCTTTAGGAACAAACCCACTTAATTCAAATATGCTGCTGAGGTGAGCCAATTCAGGTACAAGTTTGGGAGAGGCCATTTTCCTTCTCACTGTGTCATAAAATTGATGTACGCAAAGTTATTCTAAGTAAAGTTTCTATGCAGGACTGAATTTAGCCCCAGTACAAGGCATTCCATAACAACTATGGCCTAAGACTACTTGCCCTTTTGTCTTTCCTCCTAAAACGGCCACAGAATTAGGCCTCTAAATCCCCATTCATGTACAACAAAAAGCCATTCAGAAATGGGAGATGCTCCTTAAGCAAGGTTTGGGACACAAATCAAAACCATTCACAGTCCCTCTGCCACTCCAGTGCATCTCACTCCTGAACGACTGGAGCAGGGACAGGAGGGAAACAAGGTAACTTACAGGATGACTAGGAAGTAAGAAGAAATAGCAGAGAGGATGTGATTCATACCTCCTCCACCTCCCAGGTAAGCAGGCAGAAACCATGCTGCTGCCAAGGCTTTATTGTTGTTTCCAGGCAGGGCTCTCCTCGGGGATCTTTGCTCAGTTTACACCAGAGAAGCCCAATGGAACTTGCTTTGACAAGGAACCAAGAGGAAGCAAATGCAACCACCCTGAGACAGAGCTCATCTGGAGGCATGGGGCTTCTGAGCACATGCCTGTGCTTTCCCAAGGTCACGTGGGTCCGAGATGAAGCCCCCAACTTTGTTTGCGAGGACAGAGGCCTCCTGTCCTTTTCTGCCCTACCTCTCCACTGGGATGTTCAAGGGATCGCTACAAGCAGAATCTTGTCAAAAATTCCCTTTTGATCCTCCTTGGGGGAGGCAGGAGTGAGCTGGCAGGAGCAAGCTGGCTCTGGCGTTAGATTAAGATGCATTGATAGAATGCAGAAGGGAACTAGTGTAGAATCTGGCCATGCAGACTGCATAACAGCAGTAAAACATTGCTTTTTAAAAAAATTCCTGTCATCAATTTTTTTTTTAAGAAGACTATATCACTCTAAATAAAAAGCATTCAACTTTAATGAAAGCAGGTTTGATATCCTCTAAACATCTGGTAGGTTATTATAATTCAAATGGATCATAAAACTGATTAATCTAACCCTTCCCATAACCTCTTTCCAACTCTCAATTTATTTTTTTCAAATCCTGTAAAGCATCAAAAGCCTCTCACTGAAATGGTCTTCATCCTTTTCCTGGAAGGATTTCCCACAGATCCCACAGCCCCATTCCCCCTTTTGCAAAGTTATGGCTAGTAACTTCTTCAGCTTCTTCCCTGCTTGCACAACCCAGGCCACTGAGGATCTGTTCTGCAAAACACTGAGTACTCCGGAGAAATGCTGAGAGCTCTGGACTGTCACCGAGGTGCTTTTTGATGCTGCTCTACACTTGGTGGGATTGGATCGCTGCTGTAGCACCACTAATAGTGTATGTATTATTTAAACCCCTCCTCCCTTCTTTACCCCCAGCCCAGGAACAGCATTAAACACCTTGTATGAAAGGAATGTTCTTTGCTCATAAAGTAGAGGTAATAAAGAACTGACTTCTATTGTGCGTTTCTTACCAATCTAGACAGCGCCCTCGAGCCAGCATAAATAATGCCCACAAAAAGTACTGAAGCAGGAAGCCATGACAGGATTTCAGACCTGTGAAAACAATTAAAATCCCATTACTTCACCACATTCTGTTTACATACAGTCAGCAACAGTTGCTTGCAAGGAATATAATAATATGTATATATGTACATAAATTTCAAAGGCGTGCATATTAAATTCATTGTCTGATTAATCAGTATTCCTCCCATTTACTAAAGAAGTCTGACACAGAAATGAATCACTTAATCTAATGCCAGATAGGAACTATCTGCAGATACATTTTCTTTCTTTTACTCCTTCCCTGGCTCCTCTCCCTCCAAAATTGTTTCTTTCATAGTAATTACTCCTATTGCATTTAAGGAAGAGAAATTTCAACTAATTTCGTTGATATGCTGTAAAAGGAAGAAAAACTGACAAACGAAGACATAAAATGGCGCACTTGCAGAGACACCACACATTTTCACTATGTACAAATACACTTGCCCACCCACACATTCATTTCTCAGCCAGATTTACAAAGAGATTCTTCCTAAAGATCAGAGTGTCTCTGTGGGAGCCTCTCTCTTGAGATTTCCTAATGATACTCCTTTGACTAAGCCAAACTCCTAGAGGCAGTTTAACAACTAATGGAGGAATGAAGTCATCAGATTGATCCGATTTTTTTTTTAGCCATGGTTATTGCAGTAGGGTCAGGTTTCAGTTCTGAGAAGGGTCTTCAGAATTGCATTTTTCCTTTTTTGATCTTGGTACTCGAGGGGAAAAAGGGATCAGGTAGGTGGTAAATTTCAGAGAGAATAATGTAAGATTTTGAGCAAAGGAGTAGCAGTGATCTAAAAGCCTGATCCAAAGGCTTCCCAGGAGTGAAGACGTTGCTACCTCCATTCGCTCTTCCCAGGCTTTGAACTAAAGTCAAGAAAATGTTAGTGAATAATGCTGGTTCTGAAAACAAAACCAAACTGCTTGTAGTTCCTTAATTTGGATTACACTTCCAACTAGTATATAAGATTTAAAATGAAATTATAGGTACCACTACACTACCACACTTCATGGAACAGTAAGAAAAACAGACCACTAAACGATGAAATCAGAACAGTCTGAACAAAGATAAAACATGTCCAAAGATTCATGTAAACACAGACAAGGAAAAAAAAATCACATTTTCTCTTTTTTTGTGTATAATTCTCTAAGATACTCAACCAAAAACCCAGGGTCATGAAAATAGAGTAATCTTTAGATCCTTTCATTGGCATAAATATTTGCTCTGGTTTTTGGGGTGGTCACCATCATTTTTTATAAAAACACTGTTCCTTTTAAGGTTATTGACTTCAACTGGAATTTCACCAAGACCAGGATCTAAAACTGTCATATCTCATTACCAACGAGTTCACATCAGACACCAACAAAAATACCCCGCCCCATTGGAACTGCCACAGATGGAAGAAAGGGGAAGGGAAGAAAAGAAAGGAGGGCTGGGAAGATGAAAGGAACACACTATGAAAAATGAATTTTCATTTCGAACATACAAATACCACTCTTTCATGCTTCCCACCACCAAATTCTAGGAATCCCAAATATATCTTCATCTCCAATGCAATACTGTGAAGTGCAATGGAAAAGGACTTCAGATGCTTTTTCCATGATGTAAGGGTAGAATTTGATGCTGCCAAGTGTGAACTTCAGGACTGAAAAAGAATGCATGAATGTTTGATGTAACGTGTCAGCACCAACAATCTGTCTTGTATGTAAACCAATTAGTATCTTCTTACGTTGGCAACACAGTTATGTACATGCAAAACAGGAAAGCTCAGTGACACAAAAGAACTGATGAGTTTGTGGTTGTAGGGCTAGATGCAAAGCCCACTAAAGTCAATGGGTTGGTTCCCCTAAACCACATTTTGGAGCTTTGGTTTAAGCAAGGCTCTGAGCTGCTGCTTAGCTGTGGGGAAAATTCAGCAGTACAAGAAATGCCGACCAGAACACATAGGACTTATGAGCCTACAAGGGTTAGGCAGGAGCTGGGCAGCAGACTGCAGCGCTGGAAGCATTATGCAGATGCTACACATATTCCCCCGTGCTCCACAGGGCCCTCGTTTTGGATACAAGCTTTGTAGACAGTCACCATTCACCCGCTAGAAGCAACGATGATGGTGACAGAGTCCCTTACAGCTGGGAGTACTGGGGAGAAGCAAATGAAAAGCAGGATATCCACAAAACCTAAGAGAAATTACTCTAAGCAATATGTTTTTATTTGGTCTTTATTGTGAAGCTAGTGTACCGGACTTTAGACAAAGGGTGATGATCCCTATGTAATAAAATAATTCTGCTCAGACACTTTGGGATAACCTGAACTGGCTCAGAAAGCATATGAGATCAGTCCACTTGACAGAAATACTGAGACTTTGGGGAAATAAACAAATGGGTGGCAGTTTATCATTTGAAGCATGACAAGACTGGGGACTGGATATGGTATTCTTAAGTATCTTACACATACACAAAAAAAACCCAAATCAACAGATAGATTTAGAGACAAATATTCTGTAAGGAGGGGTGGAAATGTCCTTATCCCAGTGGCAGTACTGAGAAAAATCAGCTCTGAAGGGGGAAGGAGCTTGAGAGGAAGCAGTAGACAGAAGCTTCGAGACATTATGTTTGTTTGTTGGGGAGTTTTTTGTTTGGTTGAGTTTTGGCAGGGTTTTGTTTTGTTTTGTTTTTAAAACAGGAGATACATGCTACAAGTCCAGTTCAGCAAAGTATTAAAGCGTGTGCCTAATTCTTCTGAAGAAAGACAGGTTTAAACTCATGCTTAAGTAGTTGGCTGAATTATAGCCAAAACATGTCAATTAATTCTGGTCATTTCATTCAGCCTATTCTAGAACAGGCATTCTGTATTAGCTAAACTAACAAAGAGGTTTCTCAAGATGTATTTTGACCACTTTTCCTATGGTGTGGCTGACATCTAGTGGCCTGAAGTCAAAACACGAACTCATTTTTCATCAACATTTTTCTTAGATAAAAACATCCTCTTCAACAGCAGAAAATGGTTCTTGACCAGTATTTTCCCTAACGTCTTCCAAGTTTTGAAAAAATGAAAATATCTTTTCCAAGCTGGAAAAAAAGATTCAACTTCTTTAATTTCATGATTTAAAGCAAAAGTAATCATCTAGTGAGAAGTTGAACTAAAAAGAACATTACTGATGGCTGTATTCCTTTAGACTGTTCTGTGAAGACAAAATCTGCATGAACAATATACTTTTGATAACAATATATATACATCAGTAGCTGCCACTAAAGTAAGGTTTGGAGCTTAATCCTGCCTCTACCAATATCACTGACAGCTTTTACACCAATATCCTCATTTTATCTACACTGCAGATTGAAGACACGAAGATAAATTCTGTTTCCATTTACAGCTTTGCTTAAGTTTCCGTGGTGATGTAGTCACTTGCATGGACATGAAAACAGAACATAGCCTGGTTCTTCTGACATACATGCAGGATTTCATTCCAAATGAGGAGATTCAGTTTTCCAAGTCTACTGTTTGAATCCCAAACAGAAAATTCATCAGTTGTCACTCGCTAATAGAGAATCACTGAAAAAAGATACATTAGAAGGGAACTCTGGCAGTCATCTGGCAGCCCAATGGCAGTCCAATCCCTCGCAGCTTCAGAGTCAAGTCACATTACTCAGGTCATTGTCCAGTAAAGTTTTGAGTATCTCTAGAGATGGAGATTGAACAATTGCTGTGGGCATATATCTTCTAAATTATATTATCTTGCAAAATAAAAGCGATATGCCACATTCCATATCGCAGAATGGATCCACCTGAGCAGAGTATAGTATGCTGGACAACTCTTCTGAGTTGCCGTCACACTCAGTTCAAGCAGATGATCTTTGTCTACGAAGCACCTTTTAATTTGGAGTTTGATTATTATATCAATCCTGTACTGCAATGGCTGCTCTTGCTGTGCAGTTATAAATGCCAGAGTTAGGCAACAGTGAATGATTCCCATTTATAGGACACAGCTCTTCAAGAAAAAGGCAGATCACTTTTGCAGACTTCACTACACCAAGGTTTTGCGGAAGGGTGTGTCAATGCTCTTAATTAACTTTACCAAGGTTTCTCTTATAATACTATAAAATAATCCAAGGAAGAGATGTGGACAGACGGTTTGACAAGTCATCTGTACAGTTTTCCCTAATGGTTATGCTTTTTTGATTGTCTTACCAAGGTTAAACTGAATCCACTTTATATTAGTAATCAGTTGAAGTCTGTGTCATTGAACATTCATTGGACTAAACCAAAAGATCTCTCCTATGTCTGTGAAGCAGAACACGCACACACCCCCCAACTTATATTTAGCAAGTTAGTAACTTCTACAACCAACTTAACTACGTCATAAACCCAGCTACAGAAAATAAGTATTTGGCAGATACCGAAAACCCCACAGTACCTTGAACACAAGTTTATCTCCACCCAGCCCAGTTTCCAGGAGACATGAAGCAGAAGTCCACCAACTAATGTCTGCCACCTGAAATAGAAACAAAATAGCACGTCTGAATTGTTTGTTTAAACCATGTGGAACATGACCTTAGAATCCACAGAAATTCTCACACCACACTGATGACTCTAGTTACCTACTATTTCTCTAGGTTACCAGGGATGCCACTATTCCCCTTTGAATCTTTCATTTTTGTGGGCCTTCATTTCCTCCAAAGTTTCTAATACTCCAGTGCCTCCACCTCCCGTTTCAAACGTTTTGTAAATTACCATCTACCACAACTACCTTGGTCATGTTACTGAATCCCCATCGTATCATCTCTTCCCACAAAAGGTTTACAGTAATAACAGTGATGTTACAGCCATGATCTGAAGATGCAAGTGAGGCAGGTTTGTGACAAGAAAGGACTATCCTTTTATACATAAACTGTTATTGTTAGAACAAATAAACATGATTTCAGGATTCAAAGACTCGCTTCAGCTGAAGTAATAAGCCCCAAGGATGAAGTGTGTCGTCCTAGTAGTTTCAAACATTAGCTCTATGACTTCCCATGGTTATTCATGCTGGGCTTAGATTTCAAACTCCCTCAAACTCAGACTGCTTTTTATTCCCCCCCTACATCTTCTGTAGCAAGCACCAAGTGAAGTGTCATCAACAATAACATTACGCTGCATTAGCCTCTGATTCAGAGCCTCTAGAGAAAACATCTTTACAGACAGATAACCTTGCATATAAACCACAATACTGTGTTTTTCTCATTGAAAAGGTATGTAACAATTACATACATTCTGCATTGACTTATCTAATGACTTATCCTACCATAAAGGTCTTCCTTAGTCTACTATGGAAATAATACGTGATGCCTTAGAAATGCTTGCAGACAACTTAAAATGAGTAGTGATGCACATTGATTATTTTTTTTAAGCTTTAAAATAACATATTAGCTTCCTTATTCCTTAAACTAGTGGTTCTCAGAGAGGTGTTTCACGTTTCTTGGGTGAAAATCCTTGAACATCTAGCATAGTTCAGACAGAGGTACTGTATTACAGTGTTAAATCACATTTACATCTGTAATAGGTATAGAATGGTTCTATTTATTATTCCCACTCATTGCAATGCCTTTAAGCAATTACTTAAAATCTCTCTCACACATACACAAATAAACAAATATTCACTCTATACAGTATTACATACAGTTGGACAGTGTCAGAGAAGAGCGAGCTCATTGTCCACATGGGTATGATGACTATTCAATGCTACCATCACAGCTCACTTCACCTTTTTTAGATGAGGAGCATATAAGAGTTTAAAAGCCAGGTATCCCTGATGTTTGCTGCAGGCTTGACTGTGCTCTACTCCAAGCCAGTGATGAATTCCCATCAACTTTATTGTGAAGAATTTCCTCTTGTCTCAGGTTTTAAGGTCAGAAGTTGAAGTTAGTAACAGTTTCAGAGGCTCAGCACTATGCAATTAGATTATTTAGGGAACAAAAACAATAACAACGAACAATACCAGCATGAACTGAGAATAACATTCTTTTCCTCCTTTGCTCATCTGTCATAGCTCTAAATGAAAGAACATCTGAGCCACTTAATAATTTTAAAGGAAAGGTCACTTTTAAAAGCCAGAACTTACGGAAAAATATGAGGATGCTGAGATGCATTTCCAAATAACAGAAAAAGGAAATCACTGTGGTAACACAGATACCATAAGGTAGTTGCATGCCACTGAAATATGCTTTTTTACTGTTGACTTACCACACTTGTATTTTACATACATTGCTCAAAACCCTTTCCCCATACGATAAAAGCCTTGTCCAACAGACAGTCTCTGTGTGTATGCCAAAACTGAAGAAAGCATTTGTTGCATATTTAATAGAGCTAAGTACACTCAAGGACAATGGAGATTCCCAGGACAATTATTCCTACAGCTGATCATAGTCCTGGGGCTGCAAGTCAGGCAAAAATATAAGCCATGCTAAGCAGCAGTAAAGGAATTAAAGACATTCAGTGTCTGCAGATGTTACCATTATCTCAAAGGAGGAAATGGAGGAAGTCTTGACTCCAAAGAGGCCAGATTTTCACTAAACGTCTCACAAAATATTAAGAGCACTGATGGTATATATGGATACTTGACAAAACATTAGATTTCTCATTACAATCATTAAGATATGCTAGAGACCTGTGATGCAGAGTTATAACAAAGGCTAAGCATGAAAATAAGCAACATGGTATTTGTGTATGCCTAAAGATGGGTTTAAGGTTGGTTTTCATTAGCATAGTGAAAGTATACACCACAACTGCACACTATCCATGAGTGCCATTTCCAAAGACAGGCTGTACTATAATTGCCACTTTTCTATGCTGAAGCGTAAGACTTTCAGAAAAATGAGAAATGATGGAGTCTATATATCTTAATTACATCACTACCATGACATTCAAAAATTAAGCAAGACACATTCATTAATGCTTTACTGAGGCTTCATGAAGAATGTTCTCTAGACAGCCAAAAGCCAGTAATGACAAGAGGCACTAAAGCTAACTTCAGCATGGAAGAGCAAGACATTTACCGATTAAAGTAATTTTTCAGACAACTGTATTCTTAAAACAGTACTTACCCTTGAAAAAGGGTAGGGTAGGTAAATTTCAGGACAGACAGGACATACTGAAAAACAAATACCAAATTAATGGACATCAAACACCTACAGCTTATAACATTAGCAAACAACCACAAGAGCAACAAAACACAACAAGTTTCTACCAAAATAAAGACAAATAAAATGACAAAAAAAAAAATCTTAGTAATTTCTCTTCCCATGCCAGAACTGCTGGATGCTGCCCCAGTCACTGTGGAAGGCAGCAGACACTAAAATACATGAGGTATGGAGCAGACGCACTGACGGATGGAGAGAAGGCTCTTTCACTTTCTGAGCACACTCCATGCATTGCACTGAATGCGAAAAGGATTAATAGGAAAAAAAAAGATACAAGCACTTGTCAATTAAAATCTTATCATACCACAGTGGCAACCTTTGGCAGAATCAAGGCCAATAATCTTAACATAATTGTCTCCTGATGATTAATTCATCTTGCAGACTTAACATTCCGTTCATACACCATTTTGTGTAAAATATTAAGCAGCCCATAAAGCCCTTTAGAGATGTAATACACGGGGGGGAAAAGCAAAGCCTCTGCGTCATTGCTTTAGCATGCTTTGTCAGGCTCTGTGCGTATGAATGCTAGTGTCTTTTCCCACTATATATGTATATATGCAAATACACGGCATAAATACATACACCTTTTGATATGTATACCAGGATCTAACAACTTCCCGTAATGAAGTATGTAAATACTATTTCTGCAAAGGAGAAGAATGACTGAAGCTTCTGCAGAAGAAAGGACAGGTACGTGCCATTCCTTCCCAAAGCCAGCAGAAGCTGTCAGTGGCAAAAGGAGAAGTTGAAAACTTTTAACAGAGAGGAAGCTATGCTGAGCATTTTGCAAGGTCCAGTTTTTACGTTGGGGCAGGGCGGGGGGGCATTGCTAAGAAGCTGGCCTCAACATATAGAGACAAGGTATGCTGATTCACAACGGGTCATACTACACATACACTTGTCAGAACTGCCACATGGGTTTTAAATCAGGACGGTACACCTACACATGTCTGTACCCCCACTTGTGTTTACATACCACCTGCAACAACTGAAAGGTCTATATTCTGGTTATTTTTAACTTTATTATACTAAAACCTACATTCAGATTTGAAAAAGGAGGCCCTATGTCAAAGTCCTTCCAACCTCCTCTCAAGCATAGTTAAGCCAAGTACCTTTTGTGCTGCATGATGCAATCTGGCAGCTCTTCTAGCCCCTTTCTGTTTAACTAATCACTGCTCCTAGCAGTCTGTCAAATCAAGTGTACGGTCTCTCCCTACCAACTTTGCTTCACATCTGGACTTCAGTCTACTTCTGGGCATCCTTAATGGCAAGTGTACCTTGGAACAGAAACTAGCGGCTGATGCTGAGAAGAGATTTCATTTTCACCTCCAAAATGCTGCTTTTCTCTAAATCTCCCTCAGGAAATCCATACTCTGATTGCTTCAAAAACATCTTTTCTTTCAGAAATCTGCACTACAAACACAGACACAGTCTCTGATAAACAGAACAGCAAGGAGTGGTTACTTTATCTCCTCCTCCCAGACTGAAAAAAACTACTTCAAACAATGTTTAAACTATAGAATTTTATTCACAATGTGGCCATCTTCAGCCTATTTCTTCTGCTGAGACATCTCAGCAATACCAACAGGTAATTAAGCTGCACAGTGGGAAACAGACTTCCTGTCCTTAATTTGCAGGTTAATTAAACTGTCAAAAGGTCCATGTCAGTTAATATTCGTTTCACTACTGCTGTAACGCTTTGAATATTTCACATTTTTCCCCTGAATACTTGGTATGACTGTTCCAGTTAACAGATCTTTTGGGAACAACCGTGCATTCAGTGGCTGATAGATACCCAATACTGAAACACATTCAGTATCACCGATGCTTTCAAAGTAGCATAATTTCTGGCTCAATAACTAATATTTCATTTATTTGGATAATACGATGTCGCCCCTTTACTCTCCTAAATATGCCAGTATTGAAACGTTATGTGCCATGGAAAGGTAAAGATGTCACACACGGAGACAAACGAGGCCGGTAGAAGCCAGCTCTATTCTCAATTTCGAGTGCGCACCGGGATGGCCTTTGGGCTGAAATGCCAGGGTTTTGTGGTTTTTTTCTTCACTCGTGGGAGATTTTCCCCTCCGGGAGGGGCTGACCTGTCTCTCCCTGAGCAGGGCAAGGCATGCAGAGGGCACCGTCCCTCCTCCTCCTCCTCCTCACGGATCCCTGCTCTTATCTCGCCCCCTCAGGCGCAGCCCCCCCCGCATTTCCCGCCGCCTCG